ATTCAAGACATTTGAGTCATGGTTTTGATTTGCTTTATGTTTGTGTTCCAAGTCCAGTGGAAAAAAAGTAGTGAAATTCCATTTCTAGGGAAAAATATGTAATCATAATAAAATTTCTTTAGTGGTATTTTGCCTTTTTACTTTGGTTGCACAGGAGAACAGATGCACCTTAGAGTATGGCTAAAATAGGATGGAATTTAAAGCTCTTGATTCTGTCTCTGTATTGTCCAATGTAGGAGTTACCAGCCACAAGTGGCTATTTAAATTTCCATTAAAATGAAATGAAATTAATTAAAGTACTGTGCCTTAGTCACACATGTCACATTTCAAGTGCTTCGTAGTTTCTTGACTAAAGTATTCCCTATTGAACAGAGTAGAAAACATTTTCATCTTCACAGAAAGTTTGCTGAGCATTATTAATCTAGTCTTYATTCTGCCCTTAGCTTGGGCACAGCACTTTTGTGCTCCTCATTTTCTTACCTATAAAATAAGGCATCTTTGGCAAACTTTTAGAGGTCTTTAAACATAACAAATTAAACTTTTCTCCCCAAATGTCAACAATAATTAGTACAGATTTTGCAATGAAGTCTAACACTTTAAAATTGCCATAGTTATTTACCATTAATTTGCAAGAGGTAATATGTCCATGCTTAGAAATAAGAGTGTGGTCATCTCTTTTCTAAAATCATACTCATTCTGCTGTACTAATTTGTTAATAGTGATATTTTGTGTTTCAAAGTCATATTTTGCTTCTCRTTTTAATATGTGACAATTTTGGGAAACTTCTATTCTTTCCCCCTAAAGTTACTTTTTATTTTATGTGATACTTTAACATTTGTTTTTCAGAATCTTTCATGTAGAAAAGCTTATGAACACCAACTTAATATTCATAATGGTGGARAGCAAAGGCACATGTCCTTGTGACACACGGCTGCTTATACAAGCTGAGCAGACTTGTATCCTTTGATGTCAGATGTTCAGAACACAAAACCATCTTAATGATTTTATCCTTGTCATGTTGTTTATGATCATTGGAGTACTATGATCCCCCACAAGGGAAGAATGGTTCCCTCACCCAAAATGTGGTTTAAATGTACAAACTGATTATGCTGTTCACACACCATTAAAATCCCCAAGTTATCAGGTTGATTGTGTTGTATGAAAGTGATGGCATAGATGTCTCTTGCTTGCTTGTGGGAATAAACTCATTTCATTGTACTTTTTTAATTGTGTGAAAAAAAATGTCCTTAACGAGTCTCTTTAGCGGATGGTCCAGACCCCTGTGATATGGTTAAACGACCCAGATACCGGAAAGGGCCTGAGGTCTGCTTCGATGACAATGTCCTGGTAAGACAATGCTTTCACTGGATTAAAACATTATAACTTAATGGTCATTGTCCACAAGAACTTAAGGAGATAAGCTGCAATTTAAACTCAAGCACAATGTCCTATTCATAGTTTTTCTCATTAGCATGATGTACTTGCTAGTTCAGATTTTTCATTTCAGTAGTTTCCATGGTTAGCATAAACTGAATAGTTGCTTCTTCTCTCTGTCTTTCCCACAGAAATTGTACTTTCAAACACAACTCCAGTCAATTTACTAATAATTCAAGGTCACAAATTTGATGATTTTAAAGACTTTCTGATAAATAAGAACTTCTAGTGACTGTTACTTATGGTGTATGTATTGCCTACCTTCATTTATATTTAAACMCTGAAAATACAAAAGTTATTTTGATTATGATATTTATGTTAGTTTGTGTTTAGTCTTCACTCAGTCTGTTTTAGAACTTGTTATATAGCTAATGTCCTGCTTTGTTTTACCTAGTTTCTGATTCTATCAGATATTAGATTTGTATTATTTCTCTAGATTGTATTAAAGTTTTTCTCTATTATTTGAAATATAACAGGTCAGTTATACAGAATTAGTTTGATGAAATACTGCAAATCATCTTTAATATATGTTATTTAAAGATGATCATCACTATTTTTGCTATAATTCAAGTGTCTTTCTCTAATAAATACTATTCTTACTATGTATATAATAAACTTTAAGAATATACTTTAAAAACTATTATTATTATTATTATTATTAAACCTAGGGGCACTTTAACATTGAGATGCATCCCCAGACCTTTTTATTTTGAGACAGGATCTTGCTCGAATGCTGAGGTTGGCCTCAAACTTATGTTCCTTCTGCCTCAGGCTCCCAAGTCATTGGGATTAGAGACATATGCCACTGCATCCAGCTAAAATTATTTCCATTATTAGGAATCTCAAAAGCCAGATAAAAATCTATGTCCACTTATTTTAATGATTTTAAGTATAATATTTTACAATTTTGATTTTCGATTATGTCTGTGTAGTGAGTGGCTTGCTCACAACAATGAGCATGTACATATGGGGCATGAATTGGCTATTCTAATAGCATGTCAGAACAGCCCTTGATGAATGTTTATTTTTASAATATTTATTTATTTAGAATAGGTTTAGCTACTCAGGTGTATACATAGCCACATTTGTTCCACAGAGGATAAGGCATTTTCACAGACACATATTAGGTAACTAGGTAATATTAATTAAAAATGGGGCAAAGAAAATAAACTTAGTGGTAGAGAATAGGATTAAAAATGCAAGGGCTGTTAACCAGTAAATCCCAGATATCTCTGTGATGAGTTCTGACTATTCATCTTGATAGTGAAAATGATTCAGAATTATAACTGAGTTGTTTTTCAGTTTTACTCTGTAAGAAATAAAATCCAGACATGAAGACTTCCGTTACTCTGTCTACTACACCTTCAGGATTCTTGCTCACATAYAATCTTTCTCTAAAGAAAGATTTTTGTGAGCCCAAGGACAGTGTCACTCCTTAGGGAAACTTCACTCATCAATTATTTGTGACCAACCTTCAACAGTGCAAAGACAGTTTACTCAGATGAACTTTAAAAATGATATACAAAACCTATGCCCTAAAACAATTTCCTTCTAAGGGCTGTATATTTTCACCAACAAATTAAAAATATTTGACTCAAAAAAAAATTTCCAACCATTCAAGTTCCCATAAATTGTGTATTGGGTTGTGTGTGAAAGTACAGCTCTTGCTCAGTAGCTTGGTGTGCTAATAATATGTTTCTTTAGCAGTGGAGTATTTTGGTAATGCTTATTTGCAATGGTCACTGTGAATCTGCTCTGGATGGAGGCTCACATTAACTGCTAATTGCCAGCAAATTGCATGAAATCTCATCTTGTATGTCTTCTTTTCTGTGTTTTCTTTCCTTTCCCTGTACTTGCTACTTTGCCCGTTATTAATAGGATCAACTTATATGCACAACGAGTCGTGCCTGTACCATGATGTCAGCTCCTATCTTCATTTTACTGCAAGTTTTCATGTGGTGTGGATGGTCAGTCACTTTCTCTAATTTTTATTTCCTTTTGTTTTTCACTTGAAATTTTAGAAAATAACCCATATTCCTAAATCCTCAATAATGTCCTGAAGCAAGGTTATTAAAATTCTAATATTATTTTGTAAATTGCTGATTTCTAATGGTACCCAAGTTTCTCATCCTAAACAGAACATAACAAATTCCTATATTTATTTTAAAATCATTTTCTCATAACATATTTGTGTAAATATTGTCACTGTTTACAAAAATGTATACAGCTTTTATGATAGCACACTTTTACTAAAGAGAAATACCTACAGCAGCTAATTTATATTTTTTAAATGTTAGCATGAAATTAATTCTGATTTTCTTATCAACTGGTCTAGTTTAATTAACTTAGAGTTTTTATTCCCCAAATATTGATATTCTTATTGAAATAAGTGTTTCTAATTTCTAAGTTTAATCAATTAAATATTTCTTCTATTAAACCAAAATTATCATTTTTACTAATATTTATAGYACTTTCTGAATTATGTAAGCAATGCAGATAAGTAGGTGTTTGGGAGATGCATTTGTGTTCAGAATTCTATTTATTGTTACATGGTTTCATTTCTGATGYTCTGGAATAATCATGATTGTGCTACTAGAGCAACTTCTGTTGTAGTCTTTCTTCATCAGTCTCTAGGTATTCATTGATTGGGAAACCACTAGATGGAGATATGGCCATTACTAAGAATGCAATGAGCTCCTGGGGGTTGGGAGACTACAGGAGTAGAAGGATTCTCAGAAAATAACCTGATTTGTTTTGGGATAACAAGATAATCCTTATCATGAAAAAAATATTACAAGTCAAAGGTATTTTAGCCAGTTTTATTAATTAAGGTAAAAGGCCCAAATTAAATAATCCCTCTTCATACACACTATCTTGATATATAGGCAGCTATTTGAAATAGAACTTTATCAAATCCCTTAAGAAGTACTCAGTTACATAAGATGGACAAAAACATCAATAATAGCTATCAGCCACCTGCCTGCATAAGAAATAAGTAAATGATGGAAGAAGGAATTCTATGCAATTTGCTCAAACTGGGGAGAAACAGATTGTCTCTGTCAGGGTCACACAGAAAGTTAAAATTTATAGAAATGAAAGTGAGTTGATATACATATGTAGATTTAGCCTGTGCTACACTGGCTCAGGARGGGCTTGATCTCCATCCTCAGCTTTCTTGACCTCCCTAGGAAGGGAGAACTAGGCCCAGCCCCTCAGCCTCTACTCCCAGTATGAGGAAGTTGTTTGCAATTTGAGAGGGGCCCCCAACTTCATAGGGAGCCTGCTTCAAAATCATGCAGTACACTCACTCACATGCACTTGTCCAAATATATGTATTTGTTAATTTTATGTGTTCTAATATAGCAGTAATGCTGAGAAGGTAATACCCAAGGTATTCATAGAATTCATCACTGGATAGTGAAAGCATTAGTTTTACTCACCTTTTCTATAGTGAGAGCAAATTACATTGACTTTTTTTCTATGTAAATTTCATAACCAGAACAAAAAAAAAAGTTAAGAAAATTGAGTTTCCTTTGCTTAGCAAACAAAGTATTTGAGCTATGATTGGTTTCCTGAGACATCTGCCTTCCAAGACAGAATACTTATTCTACAGTTATATAGCCAAAGGTATTTAACAGCACAAGGTAAACACATGCCAGTTGGGTATAGATAGACTCTCTTTGAAACATTTAAAGGAAACGTTCTTGTATCCTGTATAGTCCAAAAACGATATGGATTGTGGGTACACAATTATGAACCTCCACACTATGAGGACTTCCTTAAAACACAAGTGTTCAAATGAGACCTTTTGGCAGTGGTTTCATGAAAATTTCAGTGGTGAACAACAACAGCAAGTAAATAAAGATCAAGATGTTAATTAAAGCAGAAAATAAGCCAGTAATTTCTCCATTAAGAAACTTTTATTTTATGTAACCGTACTTTATAAAAGGATGCTATGGATACATAAATATTAAACATGCATAAAAATATCTATATGTTTATTAATCTTCCTACATTTAAAGAGTTTAACACATTCTACCTATCTCATGGGTTTATGTAGTTGGGTGATAAAATACTATGTAGAAAGACAACTTATGTGTTATGGGCATTATTGTATCAAAGGATTTAATGTATAGTATCTATCTACCTTAAAATTTTTAGCATATATTTTCTTTGGAGCTTAGGGTGACTTTATTACAGACTTACCTGAACTCAATAATTAGTCTTTAATTCAGAAAAGTGCAAAACGTCCTTAGCCAAATGTCTGAAACACTTTATTTAAATAGATTAAAATTCTATTATTTGTGCAATTAGTTGTTCCAGGTTCCAGTTGTGGAAAGAAAGACAGGGAAAGATTTAGTTTTAACAACAGCACATTGAAGAGATTTTTAGAGTTATGTGTCTTTCAAGAAGTTATGGAGAAGGAAAAGAAACAAAGAATTCTCGGGTGACATATTATTAAGTCTTTTGAGAGAAGTCCCATATGAGAAGTCTAGTAAAAAATAGTCTTATTTTAAGCACACACACACACACACACACACACACACAGAGTGTATGCATGTGTACTGCATCTTTTTCTATTTTAAAGTTAAACTGAAATAAGGTACCAAGATATTATTTTCTACTGAAATGATTTTTAAAATGATACTGATTAATCTGGTCATAGTTTCAGTGGAATTTTAGCCTCTACAAGACAGAAAACACTGTTTCCTCCCACAATGTGTTCATTTGTGATTTAAAATGGTTAAAAAAATGTATCTCATAATTTACTTCCACGTCATAATTTCTGTTCTTATTGCTTGTGATTGCAGCATGTAAAACATGATCAGGAAATTAAGGGGTCAGATTTTTTTCAGTGTGAATCGACATACAGCCGACAGGGACTCCAAATAATTTATCTAACCTACCACCTCTGAAATTGGTAGACATCTCATCATCACATGGAGGAAATGGGGGGGGGGATATATGTATGTGTACACACACACACACAATGAAGTAGGAGCCAGAGAGCAAAATACATTTCTAGAATATAAAGATATGTTTTATATTCATAAGAATTTCCTCAACCAATGTACATCTTTTACATGAAAATGAGTTGTATGTATACAACAGTTTTTAATACTTTGCCAGACCTGCAGAGTACTCCTGGCTGAGTGACAATTAGGTCTTCTTTTGAGTATTACTTTATGTCTGTGGCCTTATTTACCAGTCAGCATGTGCACTGCTTCATTGAGTGCCTACTATTATTTATCAAATGCTGCACATCTACTGTGTATCATKCCACTCCTGTATGTGTGAGATACTTAGGGGAGATATATATCTCCACTCATGTACACATACAATTTTTTTTTAAATCTAAAATTTGAATGTAACAGGTACCCTGTTTTTTATGTGGTTACCCTAACCTACAGGGAACAGTACCTGAACAAAAAACAGAGCAGTGCAAAGGCCCTGTGCTTAGCCCATTGCAAAGAATGATAGTGTTTTAGGAATAGAGTTAGGGCTGAGGAAAGGAGAAGAATGTGGGAAGATGAAGGGGCAGCCAGGCTCCAGGACACATAAGACTTTGTAGGCCTTGGTAAGGAATTTGGATTTTGTTTTGAAAGTGATGAGAAATTTTAAACAAGGTATGAAAGGATTTGATTTATGGTTTTAAGAAGAATGCTTTTTGGAGAAGGGATTGTAAAAAGGCAGAGTAGAAGCAAGGAGACAAGTATAGCAACTTCTGCAGAAGCACGGTGGTGACTGGAACTTGAGATGGTCAGAGGAGAGACAGTGGGTATGTATTTTGAAGTGAGAACTTAGTCGTTATGCTGATGGATACCTTTGAGAAAAAGAGGAATCTCAGATGACTGGGAATCTTTAGCCTGATCTGTTTGGGGCAGCTTTTTCACTGCTGTGACTAAAAGAAATGACCAGAACAATTTTAGGCAAGGAAAATTTTATCTAGGGGCTCACAGTTTGAGAAGTCTCAATATCCAGCTTCATTCCTCAGGGCTCAAGATGAGCATAAGCCAAAGACATGTGAGAAAACATGTCCAGAAAGGGATATTATGTACAGTCCTCATACTGTCTAGCTTTCAATAGCATTGGACAAAGAATTATTTTATGCTTCTACTTAGATTGGGAGATACTTTTGAAAGTTAAAGTTTACCTTTATAAATTATTTTCTCTCAGCCTTCTTTTTAACAAACGAATAAAGAGAAAAGAGTTGTACTCTTCAGACACAATTCAAGAAAGAAATTCTATTTATTTACCAAGTGGCAGGCACTTTGTTTATTCTGGTAAACCAAAACAACAACAAAGTTCTTAATTTTTGAAAGCTTAGAATCTTTGTAAAAATCTTAAGGGAAGAACAAAAGAAAATGTTTTGGTTCATTCTTTTATATAACCTATCATTTTGAACCTTCAATTAGTGAATTCTTAAAAGATGTTTATGACAATGATTACATATGAGTTTTTTTTTTCAATGAAGTTCACTACATTTAAAGGTAAATGTGCAGATTCTAGAACCCAGGAATAAAAGGTAAAGAAGTTCATATTACTAGGGAACCAAGTAAGCCACCACTATACTTTGAAGAATTTAAATAGATACAGTCATTGCTAATATTTCATGGTTCTCCAAACAAAACAACCTCTCTTTCTAGCTTATCTTTTCCCGATGTATATTTTCAGAATGTCCTTTCATTATTTATGGTTCAAATACATTATTTTTCACTTTACTTTAATGCTTGATGAAGGTACATGTATAACATAGCTACCATATGTTCCCCTTAGAAATTGGATAAAAGAAATGTGGTAAATGGAATTTTTTTAAAAAAAATTTACTTACTTTTCCTTATAGTGCTCAGTTACTAAGATCATTATTCTTGGGAATGGTAGAACATTATCAAATTTTATTTTTATTTCTTGCCTTCTTAAATATATAGGATTTTTGGTACCATGACACAATATTTTTTATTTAAAAATGGGTATGTTTCTGAAAACAGGATTATTATTTTCTTTTACAATCATTAGAATCTACAACTAAAAATTTAAAGCATTTGTCAAATGGTTCTAGGGAAATTGCTTTACTCAACATAGCTGAACAATAAAATCTAGGTGAATGTTACTTATATGGATCCCATTTAGAGCAATTTTACAAGGTGAGTTCAAAGTGAACTACATATGGGTTACTCTGAAAGATGCCCCCCTAAATGTTTTTCAAGATTTTATTTTTTCCTTTCTTTCCAACAGGAGGACTATACCGACTGTGGAGGAGTTTCTGGATTAAATCCCTCCCTGTGGTCTATCTTTGGACTTCAGTTCCTACTACTTTGGCTGGTATCTGGCAGTAGACACTACCTATTGTGACCTAAAACCAAAATCGTCATAAGTCCAGTCCAGACCCTGCCAACACATGAGCCCTCAATTACATTAAAATAGGGTCAACTGTCCAATCAGCAGAACATTAGCTGGGCCTGTACCATGCGTAACTCTAAGGCACAGATTCATAAGACATCCACTGGCTGCATGTCAGGGTGTCAGACCCTTAAATTTGTGTGAATGCTGCATCATCTATGTATAACATCAAAGCAAAATTCTATATGTGCTCTATTGGACAATGTGGGAGTCTGTTGTTGCTTTGTTGGTGATTACATGTAAAAGGGCTCCCCATGCAATTGTTTATGAATCATTAAGAAATGTCTTGATTTTGACCTGGAATTTCAACTTGCTGCAATTTTACCAAGAAAGTCACTAGGGGTGGCGGGGAGTTATGTTTGCCTTCACTTATTCTTCTGTTCAGAATTCCTGCTTTGAGTAGTTAGTGAGGGAGGGCAGGAAAGAAAGTAGTAACATTGATCTAAACTGTTGAAATATATTTTAAAAAATGACTAATTTTCTGCCAAAAATTAGCCATGAATAAAATGCCTTATGAAGAATGACTTCTCTGCCAAAAATAAAACACAATTGAAGACCAATTAAATTTTGGTGAGGTAATGAATTGATGGTTTGACAATGTTAACTGAGAAACTATTAAACTAAAGGTGCTTGTGGGTGAAATTTGAACACGTGACTTATTTCCTCATAAATGTAAGCCCTTAAATGCTTTGACGTAATGTCCTTTTGTTCACAGTACAGTTCTGTAGTGCTAGCCAGATATTTAAAAATGCTCTAAGAAAAGCTTGTTGGGGGGAGGGGAATGTTTTTCTTGTGACAAATGAACTTGGGTCACCAAGGGTATTTTGCATGATGCTGCTGCTATTTTAACTTTTTGGTTTTTCTCTTACTGTAGAGTGTAGTCCATTGAAAAGTTAACTGAGTGACATTATTGTCATGTAAGAATCTGAACCTTGCSGTGTAAATGCACTTAAGTCATCTTTAAAAACGTTGTTAAACTACTCTGAATATACTGTGCAATGTAAATGCTGAATGACTGGGTCAGGTAAACGGTGAAATGAGAAATAATGGATTTTATACAGATTCGTGCTTTTGCCTGAAAACCTATGTACAGATATTTTAAGTACATAAATCAGATTTAACACATTTATTTTTTGAAAAGTACATATATGTTCTCAATGAAGATTCATCCTAGGTTTCCTCTTTGTTCATTTCAATAGTAGTATGTACAATCTGAAAATTGCTGCTGCTGCTGATTCTGTCCCTCCATTTTAAATGATCTGATCATTTAACTAACAGTTCCATGGAATTTGGTGAGGGTTTTACAAATAATCTGAACAAACAGGAAACCTTGAATCTATATGTATGCACATGAACACTTGATTGTGAATAAAATTTGTTTTTATACAGCCTCATTGGTGAAAATGGTTAGTGTAGTAAATTGGATATTTCATTATAGATTAATATTGTAGCAAAATATTATTTATGCTTTTAAATTATTTTCAGGAATAAACAGTATTTGAAGAAAGGATAAAAACAATGAATGTGTAATTCTAGGAATAGTGAATAATTTTATTGAAGGCTAAAAGTATAAAGATATATTTTATGGTAAAATGCATTTGTTTTCCAAACATGCCAAATATTGGTGTGTGTATATGCTGGAAATTTTCTTATATATCATTTTAATGTCAAAGTTATTTACATTATCCAGCATGCTTTAATATGTTCCACATATCAAAGATATAACCAATTCTTTAGCAATGTTTAAAAGATATATTTGTTTTTAGCTTTGCATACATTTGTAATTCCCTTCTACCACTAATATATCTTAAGTACCACTTGTGTATATTTCCTTATTTAAGTTTTTTTTTTTAATTTAAAATAGGGGGAGGGGGAATGGAATCACTTTGCCGACTATTGTTCTAAGAATTGACATCAGTTACCATTTCTAACACATTGTCATGATTTTGTAGTCCATTCATAACTGGTATTGACATTTTAGAAAACACCAAAGTGATTTAAAGATTAATAATGATATGTTTAAATCATGTTGTTTGTTAATGAAATATTTAAAACTTATTAACTTTTGCTAGACCATTTTAAATCATGAAAGTGTTGGAAAGGGAATATCAAAATATAATGTTGTTAGATTGTGTATATAAGTAACGCACATTAAAACAATTTAATTGCTTCCAGCATACAACAAAACTACCTTAAAATTATTTTCAAAGTCTGTTAAATATACCTTCATAGCTAATGTCATTTATATAGTATGTTTTCATCAACTGCATTATTTTGTATTAATCATAGTTAAACTTGGCATCTAGTGGCAGGGCCCTATTTGATTACAAAACTATGACGTGACAACCACACACATGGTAACAAATTGGGTAAGAACATGTTCTCTGATTAAAGATTGTCTTAATGACATAGTAGTCTTCATGTTTTTAGCATGTTTTTTGTTGTTGTTGTTGTTATTGTTTGTTGTTCAAAGACAGTAACACTCATCCCATTAAATTATTATGCTAAATTTTTTATTTTTCTGTGAATTATGTCAATAAGAACTTCAATTTTAGTATGGTATTAGTATTGACTTCCAAAGACTGAAAAGTACAAGAGATAAATAAAAGGCTTTTTAAACTTTTTTTTTAACTTATTTAATTTTTACTATACTCACGTAGTTTAATGCAGTTTGTCACTAAAAGTCAGAAAAAGTCTTGCATTGGTGTTGCATAACAAGAATTTTGCATTTCTGGTTTCTTTATCTTTTCTTCATTTGAACAACCAGCATTACTGCCAAACACCAATCGTGGTCCATATTTGTAACAGGTTTTTAACATGACATAGTTAGCAAGTTTGATTGAAAAGATATTTAGGTCCTGGGCCTATAAGATTTTAGTATGATCTTTTTTCATGTTTCTAATGTTTGAGGCATTCTTGCTTAACTTCGAGAAAAATAAAACAAAACAGTGTTGCTGCCATTTGTAAGTTTTCCTATTTATAATATTCTTTTATTAACCTTCAAACTGGCCTTATGGGGTTCAAATAGGCAGTATCCCTTTTAAGTGACCTTTGCAACCCAAGTGTTACTTGCTTATTTGATGCTCTCTTGTATTTTACATCTCATTTAAATCTTTGTCTTGTCTTCACCAAAGCTAAAATTCTGTGTCTTGATTTAAAACTCTTAAGCTATTCTATTGTCATATTAATTGACATTAAAATCTCTAAAGGTATAGCATCTAACCTAGGGAGACAAAATGGATTTTGTGACTTTTTCACATGCCCAAATTCCAACTGTTTTATTATTAGTTGGAAATTCTATTGTTTTCCATTGTTAACATTTCCAATGTTAATATTGTTAATATCCAGTGTACATTTCTGTAAAGAGCAAATCCAAAGTATCAAGTATTAAAAAATTCCAGAACTTTGAAGAATTACACTGTCCTTACCAATGGTTACATCTATCGTTTAAGTTCACATAAAATAAATTATCTCAAATTCCACCGAGACTAAAGGGATACTGTCTTGTATAGATGCCAATCGAGTTTACAGTATGACCAGGCAAAATTATCTTTCTTGTTGTGTTGTATGATTGTTGGATCATGCTTTTAGGGAAACTTTTAATGAAATGCCCAGTGTGCATCCATGCAAAAGACCAAGTGGCTTTTGTGAACAATAGCTCTTTTCTCCCCTTTATTATGTTCTCTTGACACTTTTGTGGAAATTAACTAGCCTGATAAAAACATTTTGTAAAAATTTGTATAATACTGTTATAAAAATATTTATAATCCCAGAAAATGTTGTGTTAAATCTTGTGCAAAAACAGTATATTCAGAATAAAAGTTTATCATTTAAAGTCACCTCACAGCTTGGATTATTTGCTTTAAAAAAAATAAGATTCAGATGAAAAAGACAGAGACCTCTCTCATAAATGTATTTTAGGGAAGCAGGTGTTCTGGTGATAAGGATTCTGGATTTTGGAAATAAAATTTAGGATTATGAAAGTGTTTTTACAGTTCAAAGCATACTTGCAACATTTTTACATAATTCTAAACTTTCTCACCTGTGCCTTCTCCAGGAAGGTGACTTAGGAACTTAATAAATCAGATTTTGGACTACTATTATGAAAAACATTTCCTAGGCAAAAATAATATTTCGTTTCTCAAAGACTTTGAGGAAAATAGTTTGAAAGAAATTAGAATAGCTGAAATATGCATATCTTTTATACACTTAACATCTAAATATTTCTGTCAACTTTATAGTAAAAACAGCTGAGGCAATGGAGTGTAACATAAGTTTTATAAAGAAGCCGAGTAAGGTTCCTTTTACATTTACAACAGATCCTTCTTCCTCATGCTCCCCTAATAAAGTCATGGACCTGACATCGTGTGGAATCCAGTATAATGTAAGCCTACCTGGCTTTTTCTTTCTGGGGAATCCCACAAAACAGAACAAAATAACTAGGTCCTAGTGTGTGTTTTGTGTGTGTGTGTATGTGTGTGTGTGTGTTTCCTAGGGCCTCCTATGTGCTGTGGCAAGCCCTATTSCCACAGCCATTGGCCCCATATCTTATAAAGGAATTTTAAAAGAAAAAAAATACTTAAAAATATAAATTACATATTATTGGTTTTCTGAACATCTCGCCTCATTCTGTACCAATGTATCTCCTCAACCGTGTAACTCCCCAGAGATCCTCATTTCTTCTTGCTCCCATCCCCACCTATTCCTGTGGTCCCTAGCTTCATCAATTTGCCTTATCAAGCATACTAAATCTCATTTCTTTGCAGCCTTTTTGTCCCTTCTACCTGCAAATGCATTCAGAATGCCTCTGTTTAAAACAAGCACACAAACACTCCATTAATCCTATCTTCCTACATTTATAAATCTAGAATTAAAGCAATCATATGTATATCCATGCATACTTATGTGGTAGTCTTTTCTCTTTGCATTACACTCAATAAGGCCTTAGAATTTTGGATCTGTAARGAACATTATCTGTGACCTCTAATTTACATTACTACTGAAAAATTTTAATTATTGGTAATAATTAACAAAATCAAGGTCTTGAGTGTTTGACTCCTGAACTCTAAACCACTCCTTTATGACAGTGGTTCCAGACACAAGCTCAACAGTTTGTTGAACTAAGGACAATGTATAGGTTGGAGAAAAATTGGAGTAAGATTGCCATTTTTTGCTTGAAAGGACTTTTTTTTTCCAGATATTCTCTTTTTCCTAATTGTCCAAGAAAACTTGACTTTTCTTTGTGAAAGTATGGCATAATTGATTCTTCCTACTAAAAAGAACAAAATAAAGTGTAAGTGTAGGTGCATGCCTGTAATCCCAGTGACTCAGGAGAATAAGGCAGGAGGACTGCAAGTTCAAGGCCAGTCTCAGTGACTTAAAGAGGTCCCAAGTAACTTAATGAGACCCTGTCTCCAAATTAAAAAAAAAAAAAATCCAAAGGGAGGGACTCATTTCAGTGATAAATCACTCATGTATTTAATCCTCAGTAGCATTAATAAAGTATTAGCAAATTTATGAAGATTGCCAATATCTGCTCCCTTCTCCTTTTTTCATTTACTATTATCCTAATCCTTAAAATTTCTAAACCCAGTAACTACTACTCTATACCTCATTGTTAAGGACATACAGCCAAGTTGTAACTATATTCCAATTATTACCCATAGATCCTGACTTCATCACTTACTGGCTATCAACCATCAACAAGTTATATAATGTCTCTAAGTCTCAATTTTCTTGCCCCTCCAAAATATAAATAATATCTACATTATATAACTTTCATGACAAATAAGTAATATAATGATATAAATCACTTAACACAGGTCCCAGCACTATGTAAGCACTTAATGATGCCTCCCATTAGCACTATGAATGCTTACCATTATATTCATCTTCCTGGTCATCACAGTCATATGCTGGAGCCCTAAAAATTCCAACCATCTGGACCATTAGTGTGTTATCTAAAATAGTCATTGTTTATACACCTGCAGTGTTAGAAGCAGAGACTTGCACAAAGCAAAAATTGTACCTTCCCTTATGGCATTATTGGCTGAGAATATTGAAAATTTCATAAGTACAATAGCATAAGAAGTACTAAGGAATAGGAAGTAAATAGAAGCTTACAGAAGTGCACCCAGCAAGACTCAACTGGCTAGAAAGGGTTCCCATGAACTAAGCTGAGAGAAGCAATGATAGAAATAGATGAGTGTATGTGAACGCCAAGAAACACATTCGGAACTGGAAGTAGCTAAATGAGATTTCAGCATGGCTGGAGGGCTGGGTGAGGAGTGCAAGACGGGTATGAGGAGACAAATAGCCACAGCTGGAATGGCTCCTGGATTACATGGATATCTAAGTATTTACAAACCACTGAAGAATTTTAGGTAGAAAACAGTTTGATCATGGTTGCATTTCCAGAAAACCATGCTGTGGAATATGGGGTTAGAAAAACGCCTACAAAAAAAAAAAAAAAAAGACCAAGTAAGAGATCAAGATGAGAAAATTTTGTTAACCATTTTCCAAGTATTTAGGGAGGAAAAAAAAGAGGGATGACTTCATGATTCACAGGTTTTTTGTTTTATGTTTTTGTATTTTGTTTTGGATTGCAACTTCAGGGTTCTGAAGTTTAATATTGGGGTTAGTGATGCAAGTTATTTCTGAATTGTACTTTATAAAAACCTATCTAGATGCTGGCTGTTGGTTCAATTTTAATTGAACACAGTTTTCAAACATAACTCTGATTCCAACTCAACTATGATCTTTAGGGCTTTTTATTATTATTTTTTAATCTACATTACATAGCTGCACATACTTAATAAAGTTCTCATTTATTGTGTTTAGCAATCAGGACCACTATTAGAATAGTAAAAACAGGGCATTCCATTCCTATTTAAGTCTTATTAATATCAAATATCACAGTTAAATTAAGATTTATTTATATACCAGAGAACCTTTTCAATTAGGCTCATCCTTATGGTAAATAGTACCTACTGTCAGAATAAGGTTAGAAAGTGGTATTGACAATCTGGTTTCTTTATATATATTTAATTATATAATGTATATTAATAAGATTGAAAGCTAATCAAAACTTTTAAAGACCCACTTAAAAGAAAAATACCTTAGATAAACTTCAGACTGCCTGTTTTCTCTTCTTCCACTGGACTGAAAATGATTGAGACCAAAAGAGATCATTTGGTACATGGTAGAAATTCCAGGCTTTGCCACCAGATTAGGGATCCACATCCCAGCTCCCCAAACTTTACATATTTCATGTGACATCTCTAATTTTCTTTGCCTTTTCTGTCTGATTTATTCTGTTTACTCAATAAATATTTGACAATAGTCACTGTCTAATAAAGTCTTTACTTCTTACCTCAGGAACTTAATAGTTCTGATGCTGTAGGTTTCAGGAATACCCAGAGAACCTTCCTAATATATAACAAATTTGTCAGAACTTTACATTTTTCACCATGCTGAAATGTTGAAAAACACAAAAATAGCACTAACTATGTGAATGTATAAGGAAAATATTCATCTGAATGGGGTATAAATAAGCATATTGTGACTAGCTCTAACAATGCACTATGCAATAAAAGTTCTTGGGAACAAAGAGCTGAAGGCAGGCAGAAAGAACCCGTGGAAACTGAGCTAGATTTAGGGACTGAGCTGGGGAAGGGTAGATGGAAGGTTCATACTGTCGTGGGTATCTTCATCCAAATGTCAGAAACAATTAGACATCTGGACCACCTAGATAGAGATGAAATAATGGTGAGGCAGATGGTGATGTTAGCTCTGGGAATGTTTGACTTCAGCTAAGAGCTTGCTGGTGAAAAAGAAGGAATGTCCTTTCACTGTCAGGACTATATGAGTTTCAACCACAATTCATTCCCATTTACTTGTTTTAACATAAAACAGAAGTTTAGCAGAAATTTTTTTGAGCACACTTGCCTAACTTGTCATCTTTCCTTTAAAACTGCTCTTGATGACCACTTAGTTGTTCATTCTAATCTCAAGGTGTTCTATCAACTTCCCTCTTCCTAAAGCTTGGACTTTTATGCATTCCATGTTGCACTGTCTTCTCACTCTCTTCCTCTATTTCTGTTTCTACTCAAGATCTTTCAACTCATCCTTTCTTTCAACATTAGCATT